GATGCATTTCTGAGAAGGTGCAGATATCATTCTCTGCCAGCGCCGTAGCTCACCTGTTGTGTGGGCGCTCCTCTGAAGCTCTCGGGTGAGGCGGCTCTGTAGCAGATGCCAGATAAGAACATCGGAAGGTCTTTAATGTGGCCCATCTGAGTCGTCCGGTCTGTCTGTGCAGAATTGGTCTGGGGGTCTCATCCGGCTCCACAGGTTGCTCCACACACTCATGGCTAAAGGCTGAGGAAGGTGAACTGGATCGCCCTCCTCATCATCACCCTCATCCTCTAACCATGAGGAAGACTCTGACCGGTCCCCTGGCTGGGCTGGACTTACAGATATACACACATCCTCTTCATCATCACCCTCCTCATCATCACCCTCATCCTCTAACCATGAGGAAGACTCTGACTGATCCCCTGGCTGGGCTGGACTTACAGAAATACAGACATCCTCTTCATCATCACCTTCCTCATCATCACCCTCATCCTTTAACCATGAGGAAGACTGACTGATCCCCTGGCTGGGCTGGACTTACAGATATACACACATCCTCTTCATCATCACCACCAGGAAGGCTCTGCCTGCCCCTCTAGCTAGCGGCCCAGTCAAAGGCCTGACTGGAATCCCGTTGAGGACGTGTGGAAAGACCTGAAAGCTGCTGCCCGTAGGCGCTTTTTCTAAGCAGCAGGGTACGGCTTAAACAAAACCATCAAGATGAAACTGCAGCGGTACAAAACTCGGGGAGACTTCCTCATCAAAAAGACCTGCAGCTGCAGCCTCTGCCAGCGGAGCTTCCACTGCGCCCTGAGCTCACAGGCCTAACGCCCAGGCAGGCAGGCAGCACGGCTGTTTATCCTGCCCTGGGAAGACTTCAGCTGGAGCATTCAGGCTGGGAGGAAACTACGTCTGCGGCACTTTGGAATTTCACAACATGGGACTGCATAGGAAGGGTGGGAGCACTTAGCATCCTTAGCAAGGCGCTGTGCCAGTGCAGGGTGAGCAGGGCTTCTGTCCCTCCCATCCCTGCTGTCTCTCCTGTCCCTGGTGTCCCTCCTGCCCCTGTTGTCCCTCCCGTCCCTCCTGTCCCTCCTGTCGCTCCGGCCCCTGCTGTCCCTCCCATCCCTCCTGTCCCTCCTGTCGCTCCGGCCCCTGCTGTCCCTCCCGTCCCTCCCATCCCTCCAGTCCCTACTGTCCCTCCTGTCCCTCCCACCCCTCCAGCCCCTGTTGTCCCTCCTGTCGCTCCGGCGCCTGCTGTCCCTGTTGTCCCTCCCACCCCTCCCACCCCTCCGCCCCTCCCGTCCCTGTTGTCCCTCCTGCGGGAGCTCTGCTCTGTGGTCACCTGGGCTCCAGCAGGCCCTGAGCTTCCCCGGGGGCCCGGGGCGTGACGGGCCCGTTTCCTGCTCTCATTTCTCCGAGAGGCGCTCGCCTCCCCTCCAGAAGGGGCACGCGGACACACGGAGCCTCGTGTACAAGCAGGCAGGCGCGTGCACACACACACACACCCCTCCGCCCCTTCCCTCCGTCCTCTCCCCCGAGCGCGTTCGGAGCCAGCGTGTGTCGGGCGCGTCTCCACGGCAACGGCCCGTCTCTCCCATTAGCGGCTCTGAGAGCGTCGCTGTGTGAGAGCAGGCCGGTGCTTGCTTGACGTTCTCATTCTTTTTTTTTTATTTAATCGCACAAAAGAAAACAGGGTCAAGTCCTACACTCCGTTCCGTCTCTCCTCGTCTCTTCTTTGTGGCCGCGCCCCCACCCCTCGAGTCGCACTTGCTCGCTCGCTCACGGGGGGCTCGGGCCGCGCTCTCCGACAGCGGGGCTTTAATGGCTTCTATTTCTTCCCCTTTACTTGACTGGCCTTCAGAGCCTGGCTGTGTGCTGAAGATGCAGCTGGCACCGGGTCAGGCACTCCCTGCTTCAGGGCTCCCTGGCTGTGTCTGCACTGGAAAGGCCTCACTGGACTGGACTACTGTATATATCCCCCACGCTGCACAGCTGTACACATATTGTACAGCCACTGCACTCACTGCGTACCTATGGGATATATACTGTATACGCACACTGCAGTATACAGTATCTACACAGCAGAAGCCCAGTATATATACTGTATACGCACACTGCAGTATA